TGAAATCATTTCATATTTATAAAAAACTTGAAGAAATAGTACCAAGAATTCCCATATACTCTCCCCTAGATTCTTCTTCAAAATATTAATTACTACACTGCTTGTTTATCGATTGAGCTATTCAATTTCATTTCTGAAATGCTTGAGAGTCAACTGTTGCAAACATGCTGTCCCTTTAACTCAGTGCAATTCTCAAAATGAGGACATTATGATAAAATATTCCCAAATCTACAGCCCTTACTCAGATTTCAGGAGCTCTGGTGGCATAGTGCCTAAGGCATTTGACTGCTAGCCAGAAGGCTGGCAGTTCAAACCCACCAGCTGCTCCTCGGAAGGAAGGTTGGGCAGTCTACTTCCATAGTGATACCTCCTCAGGAACCCTCAGGAACGGGTCGCCATGAGTCGGGTCTGACTCGACAGCAGTGAGTTTATTTATTTTTTTAACTCAGTTTTCACCAGTTGTCTGCTTATGTCCTTTATGTTTGGTCCAAGATCTAATCCAGGATGACACTAAGGGCAGTTGCCCCTAAAACTACATTAAAATGTTAGAATTTAAAATAATAACAATAATAGTTTGTTGTTGTTGTTGAGTATACAGCAAAACATACACATGTTCCTACATGTACAATTAATTCAGTGACATTGATTACATTCTTCAAGTCGTGCAACCATTGTTACCTACTTCTTGTGAGCTGTTCCTCTTTCATTAACATAAACTCACTAGCTCCTAAGACTTCAGTCTAATCTTTTGAGTCGCTGTTGTCGATTTTATCCCACCTAGATGGCTCTTACAAGGGCATAAAACTCAAAGGAGACAATCCTTACTAGTTAAACTAAACTATTGTTTGGTTTTAAGAAGATTTCAGAGGATATTTTTAGTTTAAGGTTTAAAGATTATTTCAAGGCAATAGTTTCAGGAGGTCATCCAGCCTCCATGCCCTAGGAATGCTAGATTTCATAGGAATTTAAAATTCTGTTGCATTTCCCCCACTTTGATCAGGATTCTATTATGGAATCTTTGAACAAAATGTTCATTAATGGTAACCAGGCACCATCCAGTTCTTTTGGTCTCATGGCAAAGAAAGCAGTTGTTCACGGAGGCAATTAACCACACACATCCATATCTTCCTCCTATTCCTTCTTCTGTTGCTCCAGGGAAACAGAGACCTATTGTGCCTTGGATGGCTGCTTGCAATGAACTAGGAGGTAGAACAGAAGTACTAAACGCGTTCTTAGGCCAGTAAACTGGGATAGCTCATGAAATCATGACCCTGAACTTCCAAATCAAGGAACCAAATACCATGAAGTGTTTGATTGTACATAAGCAGCTTCAGCAGCGAATCTTTTTTTTTTTTTCTTTTTGTTATTGTTGTTGTAAATACAGTTGTTAGGTTTCTTGAGCATCCTTTACTTTGGAATAGTTCCTCAGTCTGTCTGTCTTTTAGGGCTGAGATTTTGGATACAGGTGAGTTATTTTGCAAAATGTATTTCAATTTGGGCTTACCTGCTGTTTCTTCATGATTCGGTTCAGGTTATGCTTTTTTGGGCAGAAATAGCACAGAAGTGATCTTGTGTCTTTCCTGATGTTGTTGTTGTTGTGTGCCATCGAGTCGGACCTGCCTCATAGCGACCCCTCCTTGGGTTTCTGAGGCAGTATCACTACAGAAGTAGATTGCCCGATCTTCCTTCCAAAGAGTGGCTGGTGGGTTTGAACCACCAGCTTTCTGGTAGCAGTCAAGTGCCTTAGGCACTACGCTACCAGCGATCCCCCTTTCCTGATACTGATACTAATAAGGTTAACTTTGGTTTAGATGGTGTCTGCCAATGTCTGCACATTTTCCTTTGTAAATAAGTGTCTTGTGGGGAGATAGGCTGAAACTATATTTCACTATGTAAACTATGTTTCACTATGTATTCGCTATGTAAAATATGAAACTATATATCCTGTTTCTTACCATACTTTTGCCCACTAATTTTAGTAAATGTTAGTATTTTTTTAAATTAAGAATTCTTGCCTAAAAGAATTATCACTGTCCTCTTTGCTAAGTGGTTTTCTTAATCCTTCTATGTTAGTTGGAATTCTAACTAGAGCTTTCTAGTTCTGGAACTTCCTCTTATTTATTTACATTAGTACAGTCTAACGGACTTATTTTATTCTGTGGGTTACATTCTATTTCCATCATTATTCATTTCGTTGCTCAGATTGTCCTAGATTTGGCTAACAGAAGCCCTTTCAAAATGGCTCCTGTGTTCTTTTCAACATTTTCCCATTATTTTTGAACATCTCACTTATATCATAATATGTTTAAGGCTCTTCTTGGACTTTCTTTGTCCTAATTTCCAGACCTGCAATCAGCTACTTTTTTCAAGGATCTCCAGTTCTTTTTATTGGAAAACAGTAGTAAGAAACCAACATCTGGATGGTAGGAGGCTCATTGCTACTGGGGTATTATCACTTCTTGGGCTTCTCTGTGCACAAAGCTGGAAAACACACACACACACACACACACACACATACACATCTATTTCTATAGTTACGTGTATAAATGTTAAATACCACGCATTCACACTGACACCGCCCATTCTGTCCATTTCAGCTCATCCCCTTTTCCATAGTTTTAACTCTCTTCTCTGACAATGAGAAAGCTGGTTCTCATTATCCACAATACATTACTTATTCACTCAGTCCTAGAGCAGAGTAATTCTTATATTTGGCACTTTATCCCCTTTGGCATGCCCCTCCATTTTAACTGGGTGCAGGGTGGCAATAAGGAAACTTAAAAGAGCTAAGTAGTATCTGTTACCATCATCTCAGGTGGCTCTTGGCAAGCTTTAGACAGCAAAGGAGGAATGGCCTCAATTTCTCCTTGGGCAAGGCATTGGGTAGTGACTCTCTTTGGGTAACAGGTCACACGTCTCAAGACGTAGAGTCTGCACCTGTTTCAGAGGCTGGGTAGTCTCATCTCTAGTTTTTATTTTGTTCTGACACTTCTGATTCTCAGTGTTTGGGGTGGTTTTCTTTCCCGTTTGGCAGCTCGTTATTTCTGCTGGGCTCCTTTAAGCTGCCACTGACAGGACTTCTAGGGGCACCTGTCACAGCCTCTGTCTCCCTGGCCTATCTCAGCAGTTTTGAGTCCTCCTCCAGTCTCACCCGTTCAGTATCAATGGCGCTGTGGGATTTGAGCTCTGTCCCAAAGAGAACCACCCTTAGGAAAGGACCGGCAGATGGCTGGGCAGGCTGTGACCCAGCAGGGACACCCAATACCAAGGTTGGGAAGACACGAAGAAGCCATTGGTGGGCAGCTGCTGAGATTCTGAATGGTAAACTCACAGAGGTTAAATGCACTTGACTTTGAAATACTCCCCCCACCCACCCCCAGGTTTTAAGTTACTACCGTTCGTTAGATAGTAAAACCAATTGTATAGTTATTTTGTTCTTTTCAGACATGTGAAAAGCCACAGACCTTCCTTCTCTTGCCAAACTTGATGCCTGTTACTCCTTGTAGGGGCTGGTTAAGCAGCAGTGGTGGTGTAACAGTTAAGCGCTTGGCTATAGGCTGAAAGGTTGGTGGTTTAAGAGCTCTGGTAGCATAGTGCCTAAGGCACTTGACTGCTAACTAGAAGGCTGGCAGTTCAAATCCACCAGCCACTCCCCAGAAGGAAGGTTGGGCAATCTACTTCCGAGTGATACTGCCTCGGAAGCCCACGGAGGGGTCGCTATAGTATAGGTTGGGTCTGACTCCACGGCAATGGTTGCGTTTTTGGCTGCGGTGGGTCTGAGGGATAAAGACCTGGTGACCTGCTTCCGTAAAGATCACAGCCTAGGAAACAGGATGGTGGCAGTTCTAGTGTACTGTATAGGGTCGCTATGAGTCAGAAACTGACATGATGGCAATCAACAATGACAACAACAACAAGAAAAACAGAGGGTGGTTATGCCTTTGTTGTTAGCTGCCATAGAGTGCACCCTGACTCATGCGGACACTGTGCACCATGGGATGGGACCACTGTAATCCATCCACAGGGTTGTTAGGCCCTGGCTGAACTTAAATAACCGCATAGAAATAACTGCAGGCACCAGGTAGCATATCCCTCCTCCTGTGTCAAATGTGTCTGGTGAAGTGACAGTAGCTCAGCAGAGGGAAACATTCCTCAGCAGAGGGCTGATTCCTTTGTTTTTTAGACCCAAATTCAGCCGGATTCTAGGCAAAGGGTTAAAAGACCATGGACCAGAGATCTGGGTTCAAATTCCGACTCTCTACAGTTAAGTGCCCTTTTACATGCTGTTTGACTCCTCAGAGCTCAGGTTTCCTCCTCTGTAAAATGGGGATAATGTCTCAGCGCTAGCTTCCGGTCTCTAGTTGGTTATTCAAGGAAAAGGTACTATCAAAGATTTGATTTTCCCTTAAAACTGAGGGCCAGATTGGCTCTTGAAATTGTACCTGTACCAGAAACCTTTGCAGGAGCGAGGACCAACACACTAGGCACGTACTTTGACGACCAGGTGATCCAAGACTCCTTGCCTCTGCTCTTGCCTGCGGTACAGCGGTGGGAGGTAAAAATGACATGACACCATTCAAGCAAGATTTTCATAAAAGGGCCTAGCACTTAGGAAGCATCTAACTCAGCACACTCGCTGCGTTGGGGCGGCCTCGGTTTTCCCATAAATAAAATGAAAGAGATGAGTCGATTCGACATTCTCAGACCTTGGGTGACAGGTTTTTCAGGCCCACGCGGAAACGTACACCAAGGTGAAGAAAGAGGACTCGCAGCGTTGCGCCCAGAGCCCAGCCCAGACGTAACGCAGCCGCTGCGGATGCTCTACAGGTTCGGGAGGTGCCACAACAGACCCGCAGAGGTAGGATTTAGTTGGCTCCGCCCACAGCTAATTCGCGCTCTTCATTGGACCTGGGAGATCGACGGTGAGCGACGTCACTGGCGACGCCTGGCTAGTGAATGGGGGGCGAGGCCCGTGGAGGAGGAGAAGGGGGAGGAAACAAGATGGCGACGTCCGTGGGCCAGCGATCTCTGCGGTTACTGCGGGGGGTCACGCTGTGGCGGAGCAGGTACAGTCGTGGGAGGAGGCAACCTCAGGGCAAGGGAAGCCCCAGGCCAAATCGGGGTCGGGAGAGAGTAGTTAGTTCTCTTTCCTGAGCTTCTCGTGAGAACTAGGGGGGAAACGGAGTCACCGTCACCTCGAGCTGGGGAGCAGGTGCGACCGCGGCCGCGTAGGGCGAACTGGGCTTAGTTAGAGTGTGGTCTAAGCGTAGTCTTGCTTTGCCCTCGCGGGGCAGGTAAAATGCATGAGGGACAAACAAAACAAAACAAACAACAACAAAAAACCCACACACACCGGATGGACTAGGCTGCCGCGCGGCAGTGCAGTCGGGGCAGGCTGGGCGACTCTTGCTCCGGGATTTGTGTTCCTGGAACGGGCGGCGTGGCGTGTGCTCCGAGCGCTGGAGTGGGAGTCAGGCGTCGTTCATTTCCAGTGCTTCGTCTTTGAAGCTGGGGGATTGGATTCGGTAATGTCAAAATAGTCTCCTGCAGAATTAGCGTCCTGGTTGCCCTAGTGACCCCCAGCTCCTCGGTCCTTAGACCTGGGAGGTACCTGCGGGGTCAGCTCTAGGCAACTTTGTGGTTTGGGAGTTGGCGAAAGTGAGGCCCTGAGAGAGCGAGAAACTTGCTCTTGTTCGTCCAGCCATTTGGTACCACAGCTGGGCCCGGACCCTGGTACCTCTCTCTCACCCAGGGTCGCCTCCCTCAGGCTGCCCACCGGGAGGGCAGTTATTATCCAGAAGAGTTGGGGAGCATATGGACTCTGGGAAAATCGGTTAAAATCTTGGTAACTATGACTCAGTCGGCTGCTTGGTGTCACTTCAAAGAGCTAAGGTTTGAGAGACGCGTTTTCGTGTTTGAGGCAGGATTCTTTTGACCAAAGCTTGCCCTGTGACCAGAAGGGACTGTCGTTATTTTAATTTTGGGAAGAAGAAGGTCACTGATTTGGACTGAGAGGGAACAGAAACCATCGGCTGGCTTTGATCTGAAAGCTTCACTCTCTCTTCCATACCATAACTATTCAGAAATGGTGTAACCCTCTTAGGATGGGCTTCTGCAGTGTGGTGTTAACTGGTAACAGGTTTTGGACAGGAAGTTCTCTGTAGTTTCAGTGTTATTACGTGGAAGGCTGTTTTGAATCATCTGAACTGTGTCATGAATGGGAGAGACTGAAAGAGTGACATTCCTAAAAAATATTTTCTTAATGATGAGGAGGATGTACCTCGCTCACCACCTTTTTTTTTTTTTTTTTTAATTTTAATCCAGTAACCATGTTCTTGCTTATGTCAATAAGGCTAAAATTCAAAGGGTAG